GACCCCGGGAACAGCAAGATCATTAGCTGCTTTGCTTTTCTCTCCTCTCCTCTTTAATGGATCTGTGAGGCGCTCGGACCAAAAGACACTCCACGACTGGCCCGACGCCTGGCGCACTTTCATTTAATGATTAAAGCAGTTTGTTTTTCAGGGAAACGCAAAATGCTGGCCACTTAAAGCTGGACTCCAACTCGGTAATTGCTGGGAAACTATGTTCAATTCTTAAAATCCAAAGTGAGAGAGAGAGAAAGGGGAGGGCAGGGAGGGCGGGAGGAAGAGGAAAGAGAGAGAGAGAAAGAAAGGCTGGAGGGCGGGCTAGGGGAGCAGGGCGGGAAGGGCAGCGAGGCCCGCGGGCACCTTCCACAGGGGGGACGCCGTCCTCTTCTGCTGTCCAGCACTGAAACCCCCGGCCACGCGGCTACTGAGCACGTGAACTGTGGCCAGTGTGGCTGGGGAACTGAGCTTAAAACTGCATTCAATTCTAATTCATTTAAATTCAAACAGCCGCATGCGCCGAGGGCGAGCACACTGGACTCACGGAGCTCTGGAGCAGGAGACACGGCTAACGGCCCACACAGCGGAGCTGACGCCGCCTCCCCGCCCAGCGAGCGCGCCAGGGAAGCGCGCTGTTCCCTGTTTCGGTAGAGGGGACAGACAAGCGTGATCTTCTCTCACGTGACTCGTTTCTGAGCGACAGCTTGGTTTTTAGGCAACGAGTCTCCTGCTCTGTCTTTGTGCCTCTCCCGCTGACACGGCGCCGGACCCCCGCCCCCAGGAGGCGTAAGCACGGGCTCTGCAGAGCTCGGGCAGCCTCCCCCTGCCGGCGTCCCCTCTTTGCCTTCCCCCTCTTCTCTAGGGTAGCAGTTACATCCTAAAACAAACAGAGCAAATGCTTCCGAAAACCCTTCAACCCTAGTGAACATCTTAATCAGACCACCCGCATCAAAGCCAAGTGGTGAGTGTGTGCGCACACGTGAGTGTGTGGCAGGGATGTGTGTGCAGACGCACAACAGAGAGAAGGGCCACAGAACGGTTTTATTTCTCGGTGTGTGAAGGAGCAGCACACACTTCCGCCCGGCCCAGAGCGTGACTGTGATGCGAGGCCGCCCCTCGGTGACGCGTCCTCTCCCCTGGGGGCAAGCACGAGTCGTCCCAAGTCAGAGCTGGAGGCCCCCCTTCCAACAGGGAGCGGCCTTGCAGTGCCTCGGCCACACCGCGGGCGCTGCTGTCTGGAGGCTGTGTCTTCCCCGGCACAATTTCCAGGCATGGTGCCCCAGTGCAAGCTGCGTGGAGTCCGGGGCAGCGGCGGCCTGGGGGGTCCTCGTCCTTGTCCCCTGGGCCGCGTCAGCACAGCATCGTCATTTCAGCCAGATCCACTTGTCCCCCACGTCCTCATTGTACCCAGGGCTGTACTTGCGGCCGGGCAGCTGCGGGGGAAAGCAGGGTTAGCACTGGGTTACAGCGGACCCCGCCCCCCAGCACACCTGACGCCTTTCCTGACCCCATCCCTTCAGTGGCCAGGGCCAGGGAGGCCGGCTCCGTGCGCGTCCTGCTGGAGTGGTGAGGGGCTCCGCGGGGATAAAGCACAACACAGCTCTGCCCTCAAGTGTCCGCCCGACTGTCGGGAGGGGGAGGGGGGCCAGCAGAGCTGCGGTGGGGGGACGGGGGTGTCACAGGGCAGCAGTGGAGCTGGGGGGAGATGTCTCGGTGCCCCCATCCCCTCCACCCGCCCATCTCCTGCCAGCGCCGCCCACTGGTCACCCTACGGGAAGTCGGGGCAGTGGCCAGGGGACGCAGTCCATGGAGGTGAGCGTCCCAGGACACAGACAGGGTGGATGTGGAGGGGTGGACAGAGGCCCCCTCACACAGCCAGGAGGGCCCCCGGGAAGGGAGCCTGAGGTGAGGGCGAGGGCCCGCAGCTGTGACTGGTCACCGAGGGCAGCGCCGCCCCGAGCGCCTGGCTGTGAGCCTGGCAGAAGCCGCGTGTGGGGCGGGGGAACATCCAGGCACAGCGTGGTTCGTCGAGTTACAGGGTGGGAACAAAATGTGGAGTTTCTTTTTCATGTTTTCAATTCAATGTGTTTAAACAATAGATCTGCACACACGACACACAAAAATCTTCCAAATTTTGCCCTTAAGAACAAATACTAAAGCATTTTAAAAAAGAAATCAGCCTTTCCCTCATTCTACTCAGCAAAAGATGTTCCGCACCAGCCATGCGTCTGTGGGGACGGTCGCCTACGGCGGGAGTGGCGGCTGTCGGGAAGCAGCGCAGGGAGACGGGCAGTGGGCAGCTGGCTGGAACCTACAGGGGCCAACACACCACCGCCCGGTAGCGGGAGGGAGGGGACGCACCCCCACTTACGAGGGCTCCCAGGGAGGGCGGAGGAGGGGAGAGGCGCCGAGACAGACATGGGCTCGCGGATGGAGGCTGGGTCCGAGCGTGGACTCTGGGCTGGTGGGGGCTGAGCGTGTGCAGACCGGGTCGGCGCAGGTGGGGGGGGTGGAGTGTGTAGACCGGTGTGAGCAGAGTCTCTGGGTCCAGGGGGTCCGTGGTCACAGAATAAGGCCCCAAGGACGCCCGTGCCTAATCCCAGAAGCTGTGACCACGTGGGCCCACTGGCACAGGGACTCTGCAGAAGTGACTGAGACCCTGCGGTGAGGAGGTCGTCCTGGACCGTCTGGTGGGCCCGGGGCCATCACGAGGGGCCTACTGGGGCAGGGGAGGTGACGGCAGAAGCAGCGTCAGACTGACATGGGGACAGGAGCCCGGGCGGCCTCCAGAAGTGGGAAGAGGAAAGAGACACCGGGCTCTCTCCAGACCCGGGGGACGGCCCATGCCTGCCGTCTGCCTGCTGAGCTGCCGGCGGCGGGCGTGGCACCGCGTGGAATGCACACAGGAGGCTCCGCACCCTGTGAGGGGCACCCGAGCAGGTCCACACAATGAGGGAAGGGAGCCAGCGGGAGAGCAGGCCGCCGCTGCGGGTGAGAAGCAGGCGGGGCAGGAGCCGTGTGCGCTCCTCCCCCAGCAGGCCCCCCACCCGGTCCGGGCCACCCCCGACCAACACGACGCCACGGCCGGCTGCGAGGACGGGAAAGGAAGCGTCCACGTACGTGTTCGCCACCGT